TCCTCAAAAAACATTTCCAAATGAAAGAGAATGATGAATATCAAATGAAAGACATGGGGCTGGGGCTGTAGTTCAGTGGCAGAGCACTTGTCTTGCATTTGTGAGGCACTGGGTTTGATCCTTAGCACCACATAAAAAATAAATAAAATAAAGGCATTCTGTCCATCTACAACTACAAAAAAATTAAAAATAAATAAATAAAATGAAAGACATGCATAAATAAAAAGTACAAAAGGCATACATATGTGTGTATGTGTGTGTGCATATGTATACATGTTCATAGAGAGATGAATAGTTAGATATGTTTGTTCTTGTAACTGATTTTTCAGAAAAGGTAACCACATTATATTTCCTTGAGGTAAAGCAGCTACACAATTTTCACAAAGTCTATTAAAGATGAGAAATGTACTTCATTATCTGTATAATTTGAGGTTTATTTTTAAAATCAAACATCCAGAAATTTACTTTTAGTAGATAGCAAAATCTAATAGATTAATGGATAGCTTGAAAGATGGTGTTTTGGTCAGCTTTTTCATTTCTGTGACTAAAAGACCCGACAGGAACAATTTTAGAGTAGGAAAAGTTTATTTGGGGGCTCTCAGTTTCAGAAATCTCAGTCCTTAGACAGCTGGCTCTGTTCCTTGGGGTTTGAGGTGAGACAGAACATCATGGTGGAATGGTGTAGAGGAGGGAAGAAGCTCACATGATGATCAGGAAGCAAAGAGAGACATCTCTACTCCCCAGGTAACAAATATATACCCCAAAGGCATGCCCCCAATGATCCACCTCTTCCAACCACATCCTACCCACCTTCGGTTACCACTCAGTTAATCCCCATCATAACCCAATCATAAGACTCTCATAATCCAATCATATCACTTCTGAATGTTCTTGCATTGTCTCATACATGAGCTTTTGGGGGACATATCACATCCAAACCATAAAGTTGAGTATGTAAATAGATACAGGATGAAGCAACTTTACTAAAATATTGATTTTGGAATCAAGTGACAGCTAATGGATGTTCACTCTAAAATTCTTTCAAAATTTCCATCTGTTTGCAAATTTTTGTAAACAATGTTGGAAAAGAAAACACATATGGGTGCATTCTTTCTCTCAGTAGAGTTTAAGTTCAAGTTCCTATACTTTATGTTGTTCTAGGATTGTCCCAGGAGAGTGGATGATTAGCAAGGAAATAGTCAAGGAAGTCCTTTGTTATATACTGATTAAGCAACAAATCATATAATTATATTTGGTAAGAATTCCTACAACAAGGCTCACATGGTTAACCAGAAGCTTAGGTAACTACTACCTAAACTTGGCTGCCTACTACCCCTCCAGCTTGGGATCTGGCTGCTGATGCCAGATTATTTAGTGCATTCAGGAGTGGAAGGTGACTCATGGGTGTTACTTGTTGCAACAGGAGAAATTATTTGCTTTTTTGTGACTCATAAACCTCTCACCTAGGGAAAGCAGCCCTTGTCATTCTTGAAATGATGCAGTATATTTCCATCCTGTGGATCGATGTGACTCCATGATTTGTTTTTTAAATTTTAGTGGGTCTAGAATGGGAAAAATCCTACTCATCATAATCATCACTATCACCATCATCATCATCATCATCATCATCATCAAAAGAATGGGTGTTCCCCACTAATTAAAATCATTCTGCTTTACTTCATTTGATTGTTCTATGATTTCATATAGGCCAGTAACATTATGCACTACACCTATTTTATATTTGTGGAGACTGAGATATGAAGTATGCAAGTGACCTGACCCAAGTTCATTGAAGGGTACAGAGATAATGAGTTGAAATTAGAATTTAGGTTTCTGACTTCTAATTCAATTTCCTTTACTTCATGCCCAACTGAAAACATAGGCAAATTATCATTGCCTAATTATAATTGCTTAATTTTGTCAAGAAGGAAGAAACTTTAGAGGAAACAGGGTATTGGGGAAAGTCATACAAATACAATCATGGGGAATAGGAATTTTCCCTAGTTTGAATTCATGCTGTGCAATTGCACAATCTTAAATCAATTCTCCATCCTGTCCTTCCATATTTAATGCAGTGTTTGGCTCTTCTGAAAGATTAAATCTAAGTTTGAGTCTCTCCACATGAAATCGCCCCAAGCTGGGTACTCTTTAAGGATTAGTGAGTCGATGTTGGTCACTAAGGACGCTTTCTTATGTCTATTGCTCCTCCTGTGTTCCTTTCCCCAGGCACCTGTTAAGGTGTAACACCCTGGTGTGGAGGGTTCACTGCCATCATGCCCATTCCATCAGCTCCTGAGAAACTATAAGACATATTCCCCAAAATGCCAATTGCCAGTGTCTTTAAATGCCACTTGATTTCCCTTTAATTTGCATTTCCTGGCATGGGAAATGGGCATTGACTAGGAAGTCAGGTATACCTAGGAATGAAACCCTCCTCCACCAGTTCCTACTTGTGAAATCTGGGAAAATTTTCAACCTCCTTTAGGATTTCCATCCACATAGTGAAGTTAATTTTAGCACCTGCACCTCGAGGCTGTTATGAGGATTAGATGAAACCATGTCGATGAAGGGTGGAGCTAATATGTGGAAATGTTTCTCCTGAATTTTCCTCTAGTACTTTCGTAGTTTCAGGTTTACATTGTCTTTGATCCATTTTGAGCTGAGTTTTTGTAGAGGGTGAGAGGTAGTGATCTAGATTCCATCTAGTACATGTGGTCATCCAGTTTTGTCACTGAAATTAACATCTTAAAGGAGACATTAAGCACTTCCATCTTCATTGTAGCAATATTCATAATAAGCAAGATGTGGAAACAAACTAAAGTCATAAGTAGATGAATGGATAAAAATATAGTATGTACATAGAATAGTATTCAATCTCAGGAAAGCAGGAAATCCTGCAATATGCAGAGCATGAATTAACCTTGATGACGTGATGCTGAATTTAATAAGAATATGGAAGCACTTCTCATATATTTGATAAAATTTATGTGTGTCTAATTGGAAGGAATTACATTAACATATTTTTGTAATCAGAAAAATCTTGCATTAAGAGAACACCAAAAGGTGTGTAGTTATGGAGTAAATTTTAATTTGCATAGTAGGTGACTAATCAATAAAAATCATCATTTTTCTGAATTCACAATCTCTACTAATTTTTCTCTTTCATTTGTGATGACAGTCATGTACACTTAGTGAAGTACTGACTGTATTTTTATTGCTCTTTCAATATGCCCAACAGAGGTTGAGAACCAAAGCTGGTTGCTTTCAAACTTCCCAGACCACTGAGCATTAAGGTAGAATTTAGGTGAATGTTTTCTCAGACCATTTTATGTCTGCCTTTCTTACCATAAGGTTCTCTGTTCAATGGGATTAATGAAGCTCAATTAATCAGCCAGGATCCAGAGTCTCTAAATCACTTCTGAGAATTATATTTAACTTGCCAAGTGAAACTCAATGGATTCTCATGGTTCTTGGAGTGAAGACAAACTCTAAGTGGCCCTATGCATCCTGTCAAACCTTGATTTTTTTTACCATTCTAGCCCTTGCTCCCTCTGCTTAAGTCCCACTGGCTTCTTTCAAGTCTTCTCATTCGCTTGTGTCACAGTCTGCTTCTGAGTCCAGTGTCTGAACCACTCTATCACCCCCACTACCTTCACTCCATCTTAGCTAGTCAAGCTGCCACTTACCTTCTTTCTTACCTACCACCTTATTTTTCTTATTAATTATAAACACTCGATGTTGTGTTTATAATTCTCTGGGTTCCCTTTCAAGCATTGCTTGCTCTGTGTTTGTGAATCCTTAGGACACTGTTTAGTTTGTATCTTTTTTAAACCATAGAAATACAAAGGATCATAAGCGATCATGACAATTTTGTACCACAAATTGGACAACCTATAAGAAATGGATAACTTCTTAGAAATATGCAATCTACCAAGTGTGAATCAAGAAGAAATAGAAAATCTGAACAAACCAACAAAGAGTAAGGTGAAAAAAATTGTAATCAACACTTCCAAAGAAAAGCTAAGGACTAGCTAACTGAGCACCTTTTTTTTTTTGAACTGATTTTTTTTATTTGTTTTTGAACTAATCTATCTATATCTCCCAGATTTTTCTAGAATTGCATGGTAACTAACTCTGAGTACAAGAAAGTGGACTAATTTTGACACTGAGTGGAAAATTCCTCTGAGGTAATCAAGTTTTCCTAGGAGAGGTCTGATTGCTGTTTCCAGTACCAGGAGAACAGGCAGTGCTTGAGAATCTCTGGGAATTGGACGAGGAAAGAGAGAAAAAGCCAGCCATGGACCCCACCTCCTCCTGCAACCCTGAGTTCAGGCAAGAGAAATTATCCGTAGATCTGATAGGACCATTAGGAAGAATCATGAGGTCACGAGAGCCTTTTATTCTTTTCATCCCCTGCCTAACTTCCCTATTTGATATTATGACCTTTCAATGTTTGTTGCTCCCAAGTGACCATTCCTTATTTTCTTAGCTATGTATGTTCTTCATTCCCTAGGAGCTGTGCAGGACTTTTTTATGTTACTGTCACTAGGGATTTAATTAAGAAACAAACAACCAAAACCTTATTTACATGGTTTGGAGGGGTGAATGCTTACCAGTAGAATTTCAGACAACCGATAAACCAATAATGCTGATTTTTATTTTTTGAGCTGGGGAAGGAAGCTTGTGTGATCATACTTTCCCTCCCTGCAGCTAAGGTCATACCCTTGTGGATAGCTGAACAAAAGCACAGACTCCAGACACCGTTGGGAACTGAGCGTGTCCACTCGTTTCTCTAGCACTGAAACTCTCAGGGAAAACTCTCTTAAGACACATTTAATTTGGTGCCAAACCAAAGTGCTTTGACATAGCTCTTTCTTTCATCTGGGTGACCCACTAAGAGTGCACAGTAGTTCTGCTCTGGTGATGAGTGAGGATGCAACCCCATTTTGCACTTAAGGGACAGTCTATTTTTTCAGTCAATTATAAGACACCTTTAAATAAAGAGCTGCTTGGTCAGTTGCTATTAGGCTGGAGGTTGAAAGTTCCTGTAAGGGATCCTATGGAAATTCTAATTTCTCCATATGGAAACACGATGCATGTATACACATAGGTGGATGCAAGATTAAAAGTCTGAAGTGAATACTGAAAGATATTTTAATGTTGATTTTGATCAATTTTTAAAGAAAAAGGAGTTCACATACTTGAAAAGAAACAAGCAAAAATCTGTGCTTCAACAGACTTCTTAAATAAGTGGTTTCCTTCTAAGACCAATTGCACCTTTTCTTAAAGTACTTCATCAGATGTCTCTCCTTTGGCCAGTTCATTTGTGAAACTTTTACCTATTCCTGTACTTACATCCCTTGACTGAGATGATCTGAGTAAGGTCTACTGGTATGACTAATTTCAAGATTCTAATTTAAAAAATAAAAAGAGTGAGCTCCCATTTCCCTTTTGCTCCTGTGGCCAAAGTCATCTTGTTTCTTCCGCTTCCTGTTTGCAGAGAAGACCTTCAGGGAAGGGGTCAAGGTATATCCTTGGGATTCACGTTCCTGGCACACCCAGGTATCCCAATGGTGCTAGTTAATTCCCAGATAAGCAGGGAAGAACTCTTGCACATTCACCAACCCACTTCAAAGACACAATAAAAAGAAGGGTTCTGCATCATTCATAGTAAGCATCCATCCAGAGGGCTGCAGATTTCTTCAAGGCCCTGTGTGGAAGGAGGGAAAAAAAAAATCAGGAGGTAAGACTGTAATGAAAAGGAGCTTCTCCATGCAACATTTAGTTCCTCTGCGTGGTTCAGGGTAATGTCATTTGCAGCTATATCTGATAAATGTCATTCTCTGTTATCCAGGGAAGAGGTCAACAAACTACTGACTCCACTTTTCCTTTATGGGAAAGATTTGAATTTTGTTTTCATTTTATTCTGTGTTCCCATACACTTATATACCAATGTTTCTATCTATCCTGGTTTTTAATGAGGAACATACTTTTCTAGACTCTGGGTCTATAGCAATGGAGAGGAGTGAGTACTGTCTACAGGGAGTTCCTGGTCCAGCTTAGGAGACATGCATTAAATAATTTATCATCCAATAAGTTTCTTGATCATGGTTGGGATAAAGATCATCAATGTGGAGAATTAGATGCTATAAAAGCACCTGGTGGATTTAGTCTTGAAGATCTGTGAAGACCAACATGAGGAAAAGGAAATAGTGATGAGCCTTGGAGAGTGAGTGGGGATTGACAGGGCCATATGAGAGGAGGTGGTTATTTGAAAGAACATTCCAGGTGGAAATTAAGTGACAAAGGGACGAGATTATCCAGAGGCAGGGAATTTGGCAAGAATTTGCCAGATATGTGGGGGTCAGAGAGGGAAGAGGGAATTGTGGAGAGTCTGAGCTGGGGCATTAGATCGGGGTCAGATGAGACCCAGTTTTTTAATGAGGAACAGGCCTGGCATTGTTGGCCTTCTTCAAAGTACTTCCCCCCACCACCCAATTTTAAAAGAAAAAGTTACTAAACACAGACCATTGGCTGTTGATTTGCCCAGCATTGTAGGAAACTCTGTAAAGGGCTCAGGATTAGCATGGATGTTTAGTTCCTCTAGTTTCACTACTCAGGGCATGTCACTCATCTGTTTTGCACATAGTGTCCCAGTAGAGCTGGCAGGCATCTGAGTTGGCAGTAGTGGACCAGAAGATTTGAGAGTCCCTCCTACCACCCAAATTCGAAAGCATGCACAAAGCTCTAGGGAAGATGCAAAGACAAATGATATGAAGCCTTGGTTTCAAAAAGCCTGAAATAGAGTAGGACGGAGAGACATATTATTGCTGTAGTTTTTGTTCCATGCAGACTCTGGTATTAGTGCTGGACTCACAGGTGCTCCTTAGTAAATGGATGTTGGGTAGATAGTGATTCATGAGCTAGTGAACAGTCTGGGGACTGGCAGTGAGGGGGAAATGAGAGGTCTGAGCCAAGAGAAGTGACGTTATTACCTGATGATATCTCCAAATGCCTTCAACATGGGCTTATTCACATACTGCAATCCGTGCTTGGTGCACAGTGACCTCACCAGGGGTGCCACTTTGTGATAGTTATGGCGTGGCATTGTGGGGAACAGACTAGGGAAAGAGATAGGAGACATGAAGCTTAGGCCTGTAGAGAAACCAAAGGAATTTTCTTTCCTGTATTACCAAATACAATTCTATTAGCAATGTAGACCCAACCTTGACCTTGCTCAATACTTCTGGGAAGTTCTGGCACTCTTGCCAAGATGCTCTCATCTTATCTCTTAACACCTCTGTGAGCCAGACCCATTTGGGTGGCAATGTTTGGGAAATGCTAACAGAAGGAATACTAGCTCCATCAGATATGTTTATTTGGGGGCTGTCTATCATTTTGAACTACCGAGGAGAGCTGAAGAACTCTCTCATCCCCTGTCTCTATGTCTGTCCCTCTCTATCCATCTAATTTCTACCCCATGAATAGGTGAGTATTCACTAAGGTCTAGTCATAGTACATAGGGAAGGGTTTTAAGACAGAAATTAGAAGTTAGGAGATCTGGGTCTTATCTAAGGTTTTCACTCTTCAGTCAGTAACTTTCTTGGATTTTAACCTCATCTTTGAGAAAATATGAACAATAACCCTTTCTTGTTTTGCTAAGATTTTTAAGGACTGACTACTGTAAAAGAAAGGATGAGAAAATCACATGAACAGGTATAAGATATCTTTTCTTCTCTGCATCTCCCAGATATGGCTTATATAAAGAAGATATGGAAAATGTCTTCCTTGACTATTCTGGGGAGATCAACCCTCCAGGTATTAACATTTTATCTTTCTTTAATGTTTGTCTACCTAACTAACTCTTTGGTAAAGTATTGCCATATACCATTTGGAAATTGCATAAGGGGCTAGAATTCATTGTTGGTTATTTTGTAACTTTGGTTCAACATAGATAGATATTTAAATTAAATTGTGATTACATTTCAATACAACATGTTTACTCAAGTGGTATGATTTATTTTATTTTTTGGTTTTACCAGCAAATGAAATGTATACACACACACACACACACACACACACACACACACAATCACCAATTTCTAAGAATGAATGTATGTGAAAACTAAATTACTGACACCTGAGATTCCATTCCATTTTCTCATAATTGTTATATTGTCTTCCTTTCTTCTGTCCCTCTCTTACCATTGAAGCTAACAGAAAATGGCAGCCTTCAGAAAATACTGATTATTTTTTTCCTGCTGAGACTTTCAGTTGAAGGACTCTGGACTATATATTGGGGTGTTATAAAAGTGAATATCCTTGCATATTCATGAATTATTTCTATTACTCACTGGTGTTCGATTTGGAAGTTCAGATGTCCTGTGAACCAGTCATTGAAAAAAGACTGTTCAATATTACAGGTGGCCAAGACCTGTAAAGAAAAAGATTACATTAGATACAAATAAGTCCAAGTGTCCAATTAAGAAAATGTTTATTTATTCTGTCATTCAGTCAACCACCATAAAGCGCTATTGAATATTTTGCATAAGAAAATACGAGGGCTATAAGAGACACATAGTTCCAAAATTCAAGGAATTTACCATTTTAAAAGACAATGAAATATTTTACCATGAAGTACAAATGTGGCAATAGATATGAAAGAGTAGGTAGAACTTGAGCAGGCAATCACTATTGATCTTTAGATGCAGAAGGTTAAGGTGTTGTGAATAAAGACTTTGGCAGATGGAGGTGGGACTGCGAGATTATGATGGAGATTTATTGGGGTAGATCACCATTTACACAGAGAAGACTTAAAACACTTCTAAATGAGGAATAAGGCATTCAAGGGCCCTAACCCAGGCCCCTGCACAAAAGTGCTTTGTAATATTAGCAGTTTTCTTCATAATTGCCTGTATTTTATTTTATGCATTAAAAAACATGATGCGGATAGAGAACTGATAGGTTACTTCAGGATGCTGAGATTAGGAATCCATATAAATTCATTTTATTTGGTGCCTATTTAAGGTTTAATTTTAGCTGGGATTGTTGTCATTTTGAATGTTAATCTGTAGTTGCTTTGTGTTAATCGAAATGTGGCTCAGAGGATCTCCAGGTAACCAAGACATTTTAATGGGGTCTGCAAGGTTGAAATTATTTCTATAATGCTTATAAGACATTAGTTGTCTTTTTAAATTCTCGTTCTTTCATAGTTATACTGTGGAATTTTCCATAGGCTACTAAATGTAGGATGACATTGTCATTCTGATGTTAACATGCATTAGTTCGGTTATTATTTTAAATTTAGTAACAAATAAATATTTTAAAATTTCACACTTTTAACTTTAGATACACTAGACGTCAATCTGTATACACAAAAACTCTTTTGTTTTGTGATTTACAACAACTTTTAAAAGTATGAAGTGTTTTTCTTGTTTGTCTTCATTGTAACTGGGATGGAGGGCATTTCAAAGACCAGGAATTTAAAAACTTGGTGGGAAGGTTTTGCTAAATTCATGTCTTAGTTATAAACATGGTATGGTAATATATTATTTTAATTAAATTTATTAATATAGTTTCATGCCGGAATTATGATAAGGCAAATGAGGAAACTAAGTGGTTCACCATCATAGATAGTTTCTGGTACATTCATTGCAAGTGGGTACAGAAAAATATTAAGAAATCCCCTTCATAATAAAATTAAGTTACCAAAGAACCAACAAGGAAAATGTTTATAACATATATTACAGACAATGTATTAATATCCCTACTCTATGAAGAATCATAGAACACAGTAAGGAATATATAAATATCCAGATACAACAATAGTTTGGCACATGCCTATAATCTCAGAACTCAGAAGGTTGAGGCAGGAGGATCACACATTAGAGGCCAGCCTCTATAATTTAGTGAGGCCCTAAGTAACATAGGGAGACCCTGTCTCAATATAAAAATAGAAAAGGGGTAGGGATGTGGCTCAGTGATTAAGCACCCCTGGGTTCAATCCTCAGTATTAAAACAAACATACAACACCACCAACGAAACACAATAGGTTAAGGGCATTGATAAACAATTTACTAAATGGAAATATGAAGATATAATAAGTTTTTCAAATTTAGTCATCTAACTAATGATTAAATCAATAGACTACACACAAAACCAAAAGGCAAAAATTGGTTCTGTGATCAGAAAGCTTGAGAATCACTCCATTTTACCTTGCAAAGGATCTCCTGAGTTTGTGTCTGAGCTTGTAGAAGAAGTAAGATAATGACAGGGGGTCCCTTGTTATCATAGCACGGCCAGTTGAAAGGGACTGTGCCAAGCAGGGAGGTTCTGTGTCGATGATAATTCTGTTATTTGGAGAATATGCCATGACCCCTCCCCAGAATGTCCTATGTATGTAATGGAGGAGACTTCCAAAGGTCTTCCAAATATAAAATTCATTCTGTAATTTTATGAATTTCAGACTCACTGGAAATCCTGTGTCATATGGCAGATTAGAGCAGGGGCCAGCAAATATTTTCTATAAAGTGCCAGGTAGTAAATATTTTACTTCTCCCGAAGGTACTCCTCAATTCTGCAATGGTAGCATGAAATATGTAAATGAAAATGTAAATAAATGAACATGACTGTGTTCTAATGAAACTCTATTTATAAAACTAGGAGTAGGCTAGATATGGCTGCTGGGCTGTAATAGATAGACCTTGGGTTTGGATGAAAGACTCAATAATCAAACCACTTCTATCACTTATTAGTTGTGTGATCTAAGAGTTTATCATCTTATAAAATGATAATAATCATTATGCCTAGCTTATGCACTTATAAGCAAAGCATCTCACAATTCCCAGGGGCCCTAGAAAGCATTTTATGAAGATGAGCTATTGTCTTTTGAGAAAATCAGATTCTAAGTGAGCCTGGCTGCAGGAATTCTTCCTCATAAACTCCATCATTACCTGAGTACTGAGCCAGTCGCGATTCTCCTCTGTGCTCATTTTCATTGGTATGTGGCTCATCTGGGTAACATATGCAATCCAGGGACTTTCAAGAAACCTTTCAGGGAATAAAAGGAGGGAGTGATGACTCTTTAGGGTGTTTCAGTTGCAATCACTGGGCTTACGTAACCCCTGGTGCATCTAGCCAAGCATTAGAAGAAATGAAGGAGTCCAAAGTTCCCATGAAATGGTGGTCATTCATTTTCCTCTTCGAATACTCTATATCTAGAATTGACACTCAGCCAGTTAGCCCCAAGACCTACCCTGTCTCCTAATTTTTGGGAGCAGTGCAAAGATTTCTGTAGCTCTGGTAAAAGGATAAAAATACCAGGCTTTGTCATCAGAGCTGCGTTTGAGTTTTGTCTTGTCATTGACCTTGGCCCTTCCTTGTTCTATGACCTTAGGCAAGTTGATTTAATCTCTCCAAGCTTCACTTCCCTTAGCAGAAAAACAAAGATGATACCATCTACATTGCAGGACGGCACAAGGATTACATCAGGTAAGACAATACATGGAAGGACTTTGACAAAGGGTCTGACACACAGTAGCTGTTACTGTCCTTATAATTATTTAGGATTTAGAATAGTAATGCAACAGAATGAAGAAGGAATAAATTGGGGAGTTGGGGAGGGCTATTTAGTCAGAAGGATGATTGGAAGTCATTTTTAGTTTTGAGAAAATCTCTAGTCACAAAAGAACTTTAAAAAGTTCCTGACCTATCTTTATTTTGTCTGGGAATATGATGTCTAAATAGATAAACTGAAATGTTTTACTTGGGAATAAACTGGAAAAAAAAATGGAGATTGGGAAAACTGTTCCTGCAAGGAGCTTGTCTCATTCAACTATTTTAACTATTTCCTTTTCACATTTACTTAAAAACACCTCTGCTCCAGGGAACGGGGCAGGTAGGCACCGTCTTCTGCCAATCACATGTAGCTGTGGGAAGAAAAGTCAGAGGATCATTTGGGTTATAGATATAAGAGAATATTCTTACTTGACCAAATAAATGAGCAACACAGTTCCAAAAATTCCATAGAAAGGGCCAAATGTGATGAAATGGCGGATATAAAAGCTGCTGACCCAGGCAATGTCCTGTAGAGAAAAGCACTTAAAGTTAGATGCACCAAACATAATTTCATTTCTTCATCAGGCTGAGTCCCTCTACCCCATGTATCGGTCTAATCTTATGTCCCGTTATTTAAGAAAACTTCATCTGGTGAGCCCTGAGCATTTTCCATTCCTCTCTTCTACCTGGACTAGTTTTAGACACTGAGCCAAGTTACTCACCACCCAATACCTTCGAAGGTACATCACTTGCATGGATTGCAGATTGAAATACACAGGCATGAGGAGGGGGAGCCCAACTGAAAAACAACAATGAAAAGACGGCCAATAAATGAGCAGAATGTGACCCCAGTGCAAGTTGGTGTCCATCTCTTTACCATGACACTCCCAGGACATTGGCCCTGAGAAAGAATACAAGGTGGAGATCCATGACCCCAGCCAGGGCTCCACTGTGCTTTCCAAGTCTACCAGGCTGAGCTAGGAATTTGGTCATCAGCTCCAGGTTCAAATGCCCTCAAAGCAGCTTGGAAAGCATTGAAGATTTGGATCATTTTTTGATGACAGCGTCTCTGAAAATCCGCTGTGAGCTTTGAAGGGTTTCCCATATCCTGGGAATTCTTTAGTTCCTCCAGATCCATGGGATTGAGTCCTGTCAAAATGTGTTGGTGTGTGTGGGGTGGGGAGATAAGGAAGGAGTCCAGGACTGGGATGATCTCAATCTTCTCAAAGTTCCTCTCTGACAAAGGCAATGCTGCCAAAAGAATTTACTACTTTTTTCCTGCCAAAACTTGACTATGGATCAGCTCTTGACCTCCCTTTTTCTTAGAGGAATTGGATTTAGAAAAGTTACAATTATAAATCCTTTCTCTGTTCCTTTGAGATTTATTTTCTACAACCAGAGACCTGGGAGCCGTTTCTTTGAAATGTTATCATCAAAAAGCATAGGGCCCCTCTGTCCTAGTCTTTGTGGGAGGGCTGGAAACTAACATCAGTAAGAGCCAGTTAGCGGACACAGATGGTCTAGCCTAATCACATTGACCAACTCCCCCACTCCAACTCCATCTCTTAAAATCTTTCAGCTCTCCCTTACATGCCCAGACATTTAAAAAGCCTCTCTTCCACCTTCTGTTTCTGCAGAGTTAACCTCAGTTTATATTGAAGTTTCTCTCCCCTATTGCAGCAGCCTGAATAAAATTCATCTTTCAGCCTTTGGCAAATGTCCAGCTCTGTTTTTCTGTGACAGTTTGAGTACGACTCACTTGTACCCAAGATGCTAAGCTGGCATATGAAAGGAAGGAAATGGTAAAAACATCTCTGGGTGGGGTCAGGGGTTAGTGTGGTTTGTGCGATGGACATTCTACAATTAATCCACGCCATTCTCTCATTCCTGATAAACATAAGGGCATAATTGCAAAACTACCTAGAGAGGAATTCAAGGCACATTTGTGAGAAAAGTTCCAAAAATAAATTTTTATTGCACAACTTCACATCCAGTTGAGAAGGTCAGACGATGAGTGTAGGTTGAGACACTGAATTCCAGTTATGGAACTGACAGCAGTGATGGGTGGCCCCATGGTTCAAACAGTTCACACAGCAGCCACCCTCCTTGGGCATGTTGCCGATGGTTATTAGTGACCTGCATATGGGCAAGTCACATGCAGTAGGGTTTCTCAACCTCAGCACTGTTTGATTTGGGGTGGGATAATTATTTGTTATGTGAGGCAGTCCTCTGCATCATAGAACATTATCAGCATCCCTGTCTCTACCTACTGCCTGCCAGGACCATCCCTCCTCTCCACCGGGATAAGGAAAGTGTCCCTAGAGATTGTCAGACATGCCCTGGGGAGAAAAACCTGCCACTGTTTCACATCACTGGTCTACAGGCAATGTTTGGTTCCTCCCTGATTTGGGTTTATTTCCAAAATGTACAATCACGTTGTGATGATCAGATTTGGGGGCTCCTTGAAAACATCCTTTGTGAGCAGACATGAGTTTGATTTGGCTTGGAGCAAAGTCTTTGCTCATGATGTTCTTTTCGTAATTGGTCGGTTAAACGAGTTTGCTTTTAGGCCTTGCCAACATGCCCACATGCTGGTGTGTGTATGTGTGTGTGTGTGTGTGTGTGTGGCATGCGCACGTGAGCATCATATATTCTACAGCTCCACGTAGACCATGGGGATAGAGAGCTTTCTCCCACACAGGAGCTCTGTTGGTGACTATTATCCCAAGTTCTACTTTTTCTGGCATTTCACTGTAAATGCTTGGATATTATTTCCCCACCTCTCTTTCATCCCTACACAAATCCCAGTATTCTTTTCTTTCAAGATGAGAGTCCTGAATGTAGGACTCCTTGATTGGCATTCTGCCTCCCCAACCTGACTCTTGTGGGATCTCCCTCCCTCCCTGCCCAATACCCAAGTGATCAGATGTCACTTAGAACTGCTTGTTTGCTTTTTGATTTTTCTTTTCAGAAATTCATGCCCATGTGTCTGAAATAAGAATGTTGCTCTTCTCAGGAACAATAAGAGGGGCTGGTCTCTGTCACAGGATTCTCATCCTGTCTTGTGGCTTGACAATTGGTTACTGTAGGGAAGTGGAGACTCACCCCAGTAGAAGTACAGGTGCTGCTTTTCATAGTTGATGTACTTGATTTTCTTCTTGCCATACTGAATGGAGAGAGAATAAAACTAAAATAAGAGACAACATTTCTGGCTATCACACTCCAGGATACTTGTGTGCATGTGTGTGTGTGTGTGTATGTGTGAAATTTCTGTGGAAGGAGCCATAGTGTTCATTTTCTGTCAAACCTGAGAAGAACCAGAATTGGCACAGGAGTCAATATTGTGACATCTTTTTTTCTTTAATTGGGAAATTCTTACATAGATGGATTATTCTATTTTACTATGGAGATTGTGATCACTATTTTTTTTAAATTCTCATGAAAATTAGTTGGGAAAATTTTCTCCTTAGGTAGAGTAACATTCTACTGAAAAAGGACATTTCTGATGAGTTTTTCTAGCTCTTCTTTGACTGCAATGTTTAGTATTCTGCTTAAGCTCAGGCTCCATCTCCATTATTTCATCAAATGGACATTCATTAAATGATCACGTGGTCAAAGATATAGACATGGCTCTTCTTATGTATCCCTTCTTCCTCTTTTGTATTCTCATTGTGGATCTCACACTGTGATTTACTATTTGTAAGATATTATGGTAGTGTATACACATAATATTTATTAGACATTTCATATGTTGTTATGGTTTGAATGTCAGGTGTCCACCAATATCTCATGTGTGAGACAATGCAAGAAGGTTCAGAGGAGAAATGATTGGGTTGTGAGAGTCTTAACCCAATCAATGAACTAATCCCCTGATAGGGATGAACTGAGTGGTAACTAAAGTGATAGAGTGTGGGAATTAAGGCATGGCTTGCTGTATCTGGAGAGTGGAGTCTCTCTGTGCTTCCTGTTTGTCATCTGAGCTGCTTCCTTCTACCATACTTGTCCGCCATGATGTTCTACCTCACCTTGAGCCCCAAGGAATGGAGTTGGCCTTCTATGGTCTAAGACCTCCAAAACTGTGAGCCCCCAAATAGACTTTTCTTCCTCTAAAGTTGTTCTTTAAGTCACAGCAGTGAAAAAAGCTGACTAAAACAGAAATCATTATTCATTATATATATATATATATATATCACATAATATTAAAATGCACTCACTGCTGAGAATTGGGTTCATATTCTAGAATTCCCTTTGGTTAGTTTGGCCTGTACTCAGGACACAAAATGAAATACTTTGAGAGAAGGATAGAAGTAATGGTTGAACCTTTAGTACTTATGAACACTCAATAAAGGAGTGAATAAATGAATGAATGATCACTCAGACCCATTCTACATTTTTTTTCTAGGTCCATTCAGTTACAACAAGGGCGTTGGACTCTTGTTTCCTCACTGGGAATCTTCCTTGCTATGTAGACGTCTTCCTGTATTTGGTCCTTCCACCTCCTAAAACTTTCACAAATCCAAAGGAGTATGAGATATAATAATGGCAATTTGAAGTTACTCTCAAACCTTAGAATATCTACGTAGTGAGAGACAAGGAATAGGCACTAGGTGGAAATGTTTGGGAGCTGGCAGCCTAGGTGAGTAGGCACTACCCTGAAGGAGCATCCCACATCTTGCAGGACATGAGCACAAGGCATAGAAGACTCAATCAATACTTGTTAAGAAATTGATGTTTGAAGAGAGTTGTAGAGAGGAAAAGCTCAGGACTCATTAGAAGGGTTTTGATGTGAAACCACTAAACTGCAGAGTTTGAATAATTTTAAGTGATGTTTTGCATAGTGGTTTTAAAATCATAGTGTATAGAACTGACTCTAAGTGCCTAGGGATGAGTTCCAAAGGCAGATGGAGAAGTTGGAGGGATCATCTTGGTCACCATGAAAAGGCCTATGTGCACTGCATGTGGCTCTACAGAAGTTCTTTTGGAGAGGTTTATGCTGCTTCATGAACATCAATGAGACAAACCTCCTTGCTCTGTGGGGACTGTTAGGTCAATCAACACATCATTTTTCTAGTGCAAGCTCATAAACCTCAGAAAAGGCTAACTTGTTTATGCAACTATTGTCCAAAACAACTGATTTGCGATAACTGCCAAATAAGTTTTTAAAATACAAACATAATATATCCATTTCAGCTGGGGCAAAGGGTGAGTCTACCAAATCTGGGAAAACCTATTTTCAAAAAGTTGCACAAAATGTTTCATTTATGTACTAGATAGGTCCAGGCAACAACTGACAGAGCTCTATTCTTATTTTTTAACAATCCTATTTTTTTTTTATAGCAGTATCCAACTCTCAGTATCCATTGTTCCCCTTGAGGAGAGATACCCACGGTGATGGTCCTTCTATCTCCATTGTTTAGGGATGACTCTCTCCAACAACATCTGGTAATTTAAATAGCCTTTTGTGTGACAGTTTTAAGTTGAGGTTATGAAAATATCAATAATGGAGAAATTCTAGAGATAACTTATTCCTTTGTTTTTGCTTAAGGAGTCCAAATCAGGGATGGAATCTCAGTATCTTACAAGGCATTTCAGCTATGTGGTTCATGTCTAAATGCACCAAAATGAACATGAACTAAGAATATCAGCACATTTTCTTCTAACTGGGCTAGATTCATTGAGATAACTGGATGTTTAGATGCTTATGGTCTGGTACGTATTGAATGTTCTGACCTCTCTGTATTGTCCCTAAACTTCAAAGAGTCAGGCCAGCCTCAGTCATCTACTTTGTAACATGATTTATGTTGCCTCAGAGGGAGTGATAAGCACTGGGTAGGGACCCGTGTGTCATTGGAATTGCTCAAGCTAGGTGATGCAGGTTATCATATTTCCTGCTGTGGGAGGTTAGACTGGATGACCTTTTGGGTCACAAAGTCATAAACCCAGATTTAGTTATTTGAAATCTATGTCCTGGACCTAAAAGGAGATGCTCTTTGATGGCATGTGAGGCCAAAACTTTCAGCTCGATCTTTCTGTGACTAGCACCAAAGCCTTTCTAGGAACCACTTCCAGGAACATTTCTCTGGTGCCCGGAAAACTAGTTAAACAAACCTTGACGGGCTGTGAATCTCCAAGCAGAAAAAGCGGGCCCATGTCAATATCTGGATCTTTGGGGTAGATGTTTGGTTTTACATGATGTTGGAAGTGTCGGTAGTTCCACCAGTTTGCTGACAGGCCCTAAGGAGAAGAGAAGGCTCATTAGCTAAAATAATTATCTCCTGAAATACCCTTCACCATGACAGTTTTCTGCATGAATCTTCAAGGTCAAAATAAGGTGTTTGATTTTCTTGAGCTTTCTCCACTGCTGGGTCACAGGATGAATCATTGGATAAAAGTTCTCATAGCTTATCAGGCAATCATCCTCTGATCCAGGAATACAACTTCAGGCTAAAATAACTCCCAATAATGACAATAATAATAATAATAATAATAATTTTCCATCTTTCTCTTATTTGATCTTCATTTAAAGAAATTTTGGTAGACGATGGAACAGAGAGTATTATTTCTGTTTTGCATATAAAGAAACCTCAGCTCCAAGACTAATTACTTCTGGGGAAAAAGTGGCCCCAGGAATCCTACTTCAATGAATATTTCAAAGAATCGTGGATCTGAAGTGATGTCCTTGGGGAGCTTGGCTCAGATCATTGCATGTCCCGGCTTCAATGCTCTTATATAAAAATAAATGAGAATAAAAATATTTTAGCTAGTGCCAAGCCTGAATCACCTCTGATTGAGTTGTTTATGATTTCCTCTCTCTCTCGCTGAAAGTTAGGAAGTTTTAATAGCAAAGATTTGGAAGCATATCAAGCTAGTTTCATATGCTAGATGTATAAAACGCTGCTGTGTGGTTTGGGCAAATCACTCTTCCTGTTTGAGGCCCAAATGCATCTCCAATAAATACAGAATAATGACGTCTACCTCAGCAGGTGGCTCAGGGAGATAGGAAGTGCTGCCTGCAAGTGTTCGCACACCGACACAGGCAATTTCCCTTCATTTATGCTAATCATTTGCAGAATAATAAGAAGCAGTTTCCTTACTGCAGATTTGCCTTTCCTTAATAACTAGTTGATACATGTTCTAGATCTGTCCTGCCCAAGATACTAGTCATCAGCTATGTGTGGCCAGTTGAATTAAGATGAGTTGCAAATGTAAAATACATTCTGGATTTTAGAGATTCAGTATAGAAAAGAGGAATATAGGATACATCATTAATTTTTATTTTGGTTGTATTTTAAAATGATAACATTGTAAATACCTGAACACTAATAATGTCATCTTTTTTTTTAAGAATTTTTTTAATAGTTATTTTTTAGTTTTCGGCGGACACAACATCTTTGTTTGTATGTGGTGCTGAGGATAGAACCCGGGCCGCACACATGCCAGGCAAGTGCGCTACCACTTGAGCCACATCCCCAGCCCAATAATGTCATCTTTTAAATGTGATTATTAGAAAATTTAAAGTGACACCTATTAATGTGGTTTATTTGTATTTCTGTTGGAGAATGCTGGTCTAGGTACCATACATCTGTGGTATAGGGAACAGGCATGTTTGGAAGCCTGTAAACATTAGCACTGTCTTTCCATAGGCCATAGAGTTAGCAATCCCCCCACCCACCCTCACCAATAGGAATGCAGTTCTCTTGTCTTCTCTAATACTCCCTAACATCCTTATAGAGGATATCTCCCTTTAGCCTAGATATTTCTGCTCTGTCCCATGCCCAAATGAAAAATCACTTACCAAATATGTCCTCTTAGATATCCTGTAGTGTCTCAAACCCTATGTGTCCCAAATTAGACCCACCACCTTCTATTTCCCCTCTTGGGGTCCACTGCCTTCTGAACTTCTGTCATCAAATTGCCTATGACCCATTGCTCTTGCAATTAATTGTATATTTGCTCATTTATTAACTCACTTGCTATTTACTTTGAAGTATGCCTGTGCCGAATACTAAGCCAGACATTTGCAATATCAAGATAAACAGGATAAAATGGGGTTCCCAGACCAAGAAAAACATCACCTAATGGGAACAGTAAACAACAAGAGCAGTGTGATAAGAACGTCTCTCTTTTTAATTAAGTCCTCCCACAGCCAACATTTTGGCCTCTTCCATTGGCTGTCTGTACTCTTTTAGCTGATGTCTGGCTGTGGAAATTGGTAATATGGGAGGCATGTTTTGATTGGCAGAAGATCGAGAGTGGATCTCAACAGCACAGGAATGTAGAACTTAGGACAGAAGCCAGGATAAGGTTGGGTGTGATCCACACAACTGGTTCCTCTTGGGCCCCTCTGTCTGGAAAATGCTCTCTGGAGACAAGGAAGAGCACCTCATAGGCAAGTGGGGAGGTTACTGGGAAGATTATAGAAAGAGCATGCTTGATACTCCCTTTCCCCAGGTACCAAGTGTTTGGGAAGTAGTCATGGAAAACAGTGTAAGCCAGCTATTCTAGGGAGGACTAATTTCAAATATTCTGCCCCATTATTCCTATAAAAATATTTGATTCTTATTATTCTCAACATGTACCTATAGGGGCTTGAAAAATATACTAAGGGGAGTCCATTTGGAGTTTACAGCTTGAGTACCTCTTTTCAAAGTGTTTAGGGCCAGCAGTGTTCTAAATTTCAATTTTTAAAATATTTTACAATATTTTCATATTCATAAAAAGATATCTTAGAGGTGAGACCCAAATCTAAACATTAATTCATTTAAGCTTCATATGTACCTATACACATAGCATGCACAAAATATTTTAAATAATTATTTTTTTGCGTGAAACAAGTTTTTATGGTGTGAAAATTTCCATTGTGGCATCAAATTGGTGCTCAAAAATTTTTGAATTTTGGAGAATTCTGGATTTTCCAGTTAGGGGTGCTCAATCTGCATTGCACAAAAATCCAAAATAAGTGTATATATTTCATGGTTTATTTTCAGAAGAGCTCTTTTATTGTGATATACTACAAAATCCATAAAATATATGTTTTCACAGCCAATGAGTAGAAATCCCTAAGAATCTCAATATCTGTGCTTTTTCCAGGGCAGAAGAACTGACATTAAGTGGAGTTTTGATATTTGAAACTGTGATGCATGTAAAAGGCAGGGATGTTGTTGCTTATAATTTTCTTTGTCCTCTGCCTCCCGCCTACCCTTCCTCCCTACAGGTAATTTTCTCTTTGGCACATAGTTGAAACCTATATTCATTTTGTTGGTGAATCACTGGCTTTACCTGCAAAATGGCAGAGTACTCCTGATTCTCTTTCTGAGCCATTTCCTATTTCTAGTTCTGCTTGCAAGCCATCAAGGTTATATTCATTTCAACTAGTGCAAAATTATTTCTGAGGAAACAATATAGAAAGATCTGTGTACAAATTTGAACCAATGGGAAAGCATTGATTTTTTTAATAGTGCCAGCCAGGGTGGGGCTGATGGGAAATATTCCAAGTACCAGCACCAAATCAACTGCCAATTACCTCTGGGGCAGATGAGTCTCTGACTCAGCACCAGGGAAGGGAGAGGAAATGAAAGGGCTCATGGCTTCAATCTTATGAAGACATAAGAGAAAACTTCTGCTTTTATTCTGTTGTAAGTATTTCTAAGTGAATTCAGAAACATATCTATCTAACACTGGTAGACAGTGGCAAAATAGTATACCTACAGAAATCTTCTGATTAAGTGAAACTTATCACATAAAATGACAATTTTTTTTTCTGGACAGAAATATAAAACATGAATCTAAAAATCCAACTCTGTAATATGGATCAAAAATACAAATAATTTATTTACACATCACTCTGCTCAATGGGAAAGTCAATAGATAAGAAAGAGTAGGTAACTCCAAGTACCTTGCAGATCAAGATTGCTATGATTTATGGTTTACTTTCCTATCCTCTTAATACCATTACATTAAAATTTTTATTAATTATTCTGAGTCCTCATTTGGATTATGAAAAGATTGTTCCTAATATTAGTAACAAGTAAATATTACTAAGCATTTGCAGACACTATGATAGGCGTGACACAAGAGTATTGCATGTGATCTTAACAACATCTCTAACCATCAAATCTATCATCTATCCTCATTTCACAGTTGAAGAACTGAAGTTCAAATGCAGAACATAATCTTTCCAAGATGACCAACAGACTCACTAGGTGATTTCCCATGGAAGGCAGTTCTGTTGTTAGAGAAGATGTCAGTCTTGGCTGCAAGTTGGATTCAACAAAGAAGCTTTCAAAAATATAAATGATGTCCAGACCCCACCACAGATAAACTTAATCAGAACATCTATGATGGTTCCTAGGCATTGGTGTTTTTTTTTTTGTTTTTTTTTTTTTAAAGAAGACCTCTTCTGGGTGCCTCTGAATAGCCAGGATTAAAAAGCACAGCAGTGGAACCTCTACTATTTAATATTGTGCCACAAATGTTCTCACATCCCAGGCTGTGGACGTTCACTTAAATAGTTAATTTTTTTGAAGATCCACCTCAACTGAAAATAAGGGTGCTACAAGCCCCACCTCGAGAGAATTACGTGAGACAACAGCCTGAAGGGGATGCTTCTGAACCTGATACCTGGCCGACTCACGTATGATGTGCCTTCCCATCTGCCCTCCCTTATGATTTACTCTCCCAGTTCCTATTCCTGCTCCCTGTGAGCTGGATCCAGCAGCTTCTTCACCCTCTTATTAGCTGGCCACTTCCAGGCTGCTCCAGGCTGGAGAACTAGACAGCCAGGTTTTTTATTAGCCTGTGTTAGGAAGGAACACAGGCTCAGAGTCAGTGCTTCTGGAATTTTCCTAAGAGGAACTGTCTTAAAATCACAAATTTGATTTAGTGAAAGATTCAGAGGCTTTTGCCTGTCTTTGGGGCCAGATTACATCGTCACCCAATCCTAGAAAGTTATAGAAAAGAGGAGATCTAGCTTAACTCTTACTATCACAGATGGAAACACCTAGGGCCAGAGAGGGAACAAGATTTAACCAAGGTCACATAATGAACAGCATCAGGGCTGGGGCTGAAGGCCACTCTTTCCAGTCTTTTTGCTTTGATATTTTCTTCTGCACTCACTTGTTCATTCATTCAAAAATGCTCATTGAAGGCTTACAGTGTTCCAGGAACTCAGGGAACCTGTTTCTTGGAGCTTACGTTGGGGGGATAGGACTGGTTGCCATCACCACTACTTGCTTTTTCCAGAAGCCTGGGTTCTGCATCCCTCCTCTGGAACAAGCTGTCTGACCTTTCCTGACTATTCTTTCTCTTCATTTTTATATGTCTCCTGTGTTATTTCCTTTATTTCTTCAGTGCCTTCCAGGGTGAATCAGGCCTGCTGAATTCTCCTAGTTCCCAGCAAAACAAAATTTCACTTCCTTTCTAAGAGTATTCCCATTTATGATTTTACAGCACATCTCTTCATTTTTAAAGACACAGACTTTCTTGTGGGTGGTGATTCCTTAAGGCAATGGGGTGCTGGGTTTTTAGATGAATAGCCTTTTAGGCTAATGAAAAATGTAAGAGCTTCTTAAATAAAAATCAGAATTTTCTTCCTGACATTTAAAAATCAAGTGTAGCACATATTTTATAACATTATATTTCAAATCAATGTGTATAATATACATTATTATTACATTTACACTCATTTATGGGGCTTTGCTGACATGAGCACGGTCAAGCCTGGAAACCGTTGCTTTAGGAAATGATGCTCAAGGCTCCCCCAGCATCCTTCCTGACACCCTTTACCTTGAGATGACACATCACAAACTTGTGCATCAGGTGGTTCCACTTGGACTTCTTAAACATGGATAGGTGTCCTATGTCATGCTGCAGAAATGAACTCTGAGCCTAGGAGAGACAGAGTTGTTAGAGAAGTTGGGAAGTCCAGAGGAATCTGAAGAGCCCACTCGTACCTTTGTGAGCCTGAGAATGGGTGGGCGGGGGGGGGGGGGCTTTGTCTGACCTCCATTCAAGTGAGTTTCTGAGTCTCACACATCTCACATTCAACCCCCCATCCTTTTATGCAAATGGTTCTGTCAGCTTGGAAGGCTCTTGTTATCACAAAGTCTTCCAGTGAGGTGTGGAAAGACCATGGACTTTGCATCAGACAAACTTTTGTTCTTTATGACTCACCAGTTGTATGACTCTGGGCAAGTTACTCCAAAGCTCTCACCCTCAGTTACTTATCTGATACAAGGTGATAATAATACCTAACACAGGGAGCTGTTGTATAATTTACATAGTATTTAGGCTAAGCGCAAAACAGATATTTATTTCCTTTCTTGTTTCCAAAAGTTGCTTTCCAAATAATAAAGCAAATTGTCCTTTCAGAAAAAATGGACAGAAAAAATTTGAAATCTATAAATACATTACTGTTGATTCTCTACAAAACCTTCCCTGTTATTCCAATGAGAACTAAATGTCCCTTTCTGTTCCAACAGCGCATGCTTGTTCCTCCTGCTGGCATTCATTCCTCTCTGCCCTGCACTATGTTCAGCAGATGATTTATTACCCATTTTGGATGACACCTTTCTCGGGGACAGGAAGCCTGTGAATTTCTCTCCATATCCATACAGTCTTGTGCCCATAGGAGAAAATTCATCCCTTATTCAACAAGGATTTAACAAATGCCCAGCTATACATGATGCAGCTTGAGAGCATTATGTTAATAAGCCAAACTCAGAAGGTCAAGGATAATTTTTTTTTCTCTCATATGTCGAAGCTAGAGAAGAAAAAGGAAAGGAAAGGGGAGGTGAATCTCATGAAAATCAAAGGAGATCAGCAGAATAGAGGACCAGGGGGTGAGTGGAGGGGAGAGAGTGGAGATGTACAGGGGAGTGATATGGAAGAAATTATACTGTGACATTGTATGCTTGTACAAATACATAATAACAAATCCCACCATTATGGACAGCTATAATGCATGGATAGGTACACACACATGTGCCCTGCTGAGCATCAGTTGTTATTTACAAAGGAACTCAAGTTTTTATTGTTACTTAAAAAGATTTCTGCTCTTGAACAATTCATGGTCTCATGCAGTAATAAAAGGTGGCAGATTAATAAATGAAAGACGTGATGAGTGTTATATGACCATAGACAGAACTTTAGTTGATAAAATTGGGGGAAAAGAACAGATGAACAGTAGCAATCGTCCTTAACCAAAGCTTTACTATATGCTGGATGCTGTGCTGGGTAGTTTTACACATTAGCTTGTTTAGTCCACCTTAGAATAATTCCAAATTTATTATTATCCTCATTTTACATATGTAGGAACTGGGGCCCAAAGTCATTTAGTAACTTGCAGACAAGTCTAACCTTGAGGAGGAACTTGCCTAGAAGTGTAGGCTGCTGCTGACACTAATCTAAAGAGGGAGGAAGAAATCCAACCTTTTCCAAGGCCACCATCTAGGCTCAGGACACCGGCTTACCTGAGACACTGTGAGAAGAAAGGAGATGAACAATGTGACAGTCCATCCATTGCCAAAATGACACAGTATCAGCCATGCCAGGACTTCCAAAATCAAGATCTGGATGAGGTGGAGAGAGAAGAACCACAGGTTGGCCCTGAACATGTTCGAAGCTTCCAACGTCCTGCGCAGTTCTTGGAAATCTTCCACCAGCTGGGACTGTGAAATAAATATTGAAGGGAGGAATTAATTCCTTCAGGGGAAAGGGAACACAGAGCACAAGTAATAATTGGTTCTATTAATTTAGTAATAAAATTACTTTATGAATAGAATTTTATATACAGGGATAAAATTAAATGCCCAGAAATTAAACAAAAGCCAGAGAACAGACAAATGAAATCTCTGAAAAAAAGGTGATGATTGCTATTTCTTTCTGGAGATAAGAATGAAGAGTGACATGTGAACTGTCCAATAGTTAAGGAGCTTAGTCAAAGTAATTATGTGGGGACAGGGATGGCGAAGGAGAGCGCATTGAGAGATGTGTATGCCTGGTAGCTGTTTGTGAAACACAGTATTATCTCAGGTGTGGACTGAAATCTGTTTTTGTTGTTTTGGGGATCTGGGCTGTCTATGTGAATCTGCATTACTGTAGCTACTTCTCTAACTATCTGTATTACTGTAGTTAAGTTTCCAAAATGCTTTCCCTGTCATTAATTATTTAATGTGCTCAAAGGACTCTTTCATAGAAGAGGTAAGCACAGAACAGTCTAGTTAGTTTAAATGAGCTCCAAGGGTAAATTCCCTGAGAGCCTCTCACTGGATACCCAACACAGGGTTACCTTTGGCACGGTGTGTCTGCTGGTTAATGTGGTCCTGTACAAGTGTACCATGCAGGTGCGTGTGTGTGCTGGTGTACAATACTAGCATTGGTTTGCAAGTTTGACACATGGTACACAGGAGGATGCAAGGGTTGGGAAGAACTATCATTAGTTTATTGACTCCAGGGGGGTTGAAACTAGGACAGTTGAGAAAGTGAGGGTATGAGAAAAAATAGCACAGCTGTACAGATGTTAAAAAAAAAGAAAGAAAGAAATTAGAAATGAGAAGGGCTGTGAAAGTAATTCTAGAAGTCAAAATTCTCATTTCAAAATGCACTGGTTTACAACATTTGAAGGGCATACTGTCTGCCAAAAGTCCGGGTAAGGTCATCTCCCAGGCCTCCACCAACCCGGGGATATCTATGGCATCCGTAGATAATTGTAATAATTGTCTAATGGTAATCTGTCATCATCTCTGGGATTACTCTCAGCCTGGTCATATTTTCCACCCATTGATTGTACAGAATAGAGGGTTGTCAAAATCCAGAAGAGTGACTGGCTTGGAATCACCAGCAAGTCCATGACAGATGCTGGACTTTAGCCCACACCCAGTTTCACCCTCAGGCTCCAACTTCCTGTAGAGAGCCACATTGATGTACTCAAGGAAATTTATGGTGGCCCTTCGCCTACGGAGACTAACACTGCTTTAGATAATGGCTATCTTCTGGCTCTCAGAAACTGGTGGAGTTTTATTTTCCTTACATGTTTTTGTTTGGAATAATGATTTAATTTTGCATCATCTTTCCTTTTCAACCTAGGGCCACCCACCCCAAATGATGGGCACATACCTGGAAGCTTGCAAATCATTAACACCATCATTGAGCTTGAGACACTGAAAATATCTAAAATTTATTGAGCACTTACTATGTCCCAAACACGGTTCTAAGTTCTTTGAATGATATTACATCTTTCAATCATTTTCCTAATAACTCTTATGTGATTGGTGTTATGATTGGTGCTGTTTTACAGAGAGAGAGAGAGACATTGAACCACAGAGAGGGGTGGAAGATGAGTTCAGGCTGTCCACTCTCAGAGACCAATCTCCTAAAATGAGCCATGGCCTTACAGAGTGAGCCTAAGTGTTAGTCTCAGATTTGTTCATAACCAGTCCTGCATTCTGAGATCAGTCCTGCTCCTTGGTAGGGGCGGGGGGGTTGTCTCCTTGTTTCCTAAGGAGGGAATAAAGTCCTTACTCCCTCTGTTTCACAGTAGTATTTGACTCTGGGCAAATAAAAAAAATTAAGAATTAAACAAATGAAGTTTTAGTCTTATAGAGACCTTGTCCCTTAGAAGACAGTATAGTGCAACTGGTATAGTTAAGTATTGAGGAAAGCATGGCATCCATCCTTGGGTATACTGAAGATATTTGGGGTCAGAGAATAGTGATTTAGAGTACCAGTTCTTTGGTGAAATAGCTGAGGAACTTTCAGGAAGAAATTTATTCTCCATGAATGCTAATTTCCCTGAATGTCAAAAGGGCAATAGTTTTAGTATATTTTTATATCTTTCATTTAACAGCTATTTATGGAGTTTCTACTACATGTCTGATCCTGTGCAGATGAGTCTGAAGGACACAGGGATAAGTGATACAGACATTTTCTTTGCTCTCATGGAACTTAGTTTAGCAGGGGATATAGTCACGGACACCAAACACATAATTGCAAACAGTCACTGGAAAAAAGGTGTAAGCTGCTTGGCCTGAGGTGGCGCTTAGAGACAGAATGAGTACGGAATGCAGGGCCAAAGTTCCATTTCTTGTCTTCACAGAGGTTTAAGAGCTCTGAGCTCTCAAGGGGATAAATCTTCTTTGAAATATGAAGAATCCACTAATACATAATACTCCCCCCTTATCCATGGTTTCATTTTCTTTGGTCAAAAAAAATATTAAATAAAAAAATCCCAGAAATAAACAATCCATCAGCTTTAAATTGTGCACTGTTCTGAAAAGCATGACGATATCTCCACCTTCCTGCTGCATCCTGCTCAGAACAGGAATGCTCTATACACTTGCCTCCTGTTAGTCACTTAGTCGCCATCTTGGCTACCACATCAACTGTCATGCCCTTTCATGACTGGTACATAGGGTTCAATAAATCTATCCAAAGTTTAAGCATCCACCAGAGGCCTTGGAATGTTTCCCCTGTAGATAGGGGGAACTACTGCACTCTATTGTGGGCTCACCCAGGCACAGCAATTGGTTTCTCATAGAAAACAGTAAATTGGCCTCTATGGCTTGTTTCCATCCTTCCACGTACTTGTATCCCGAGACTCACGTTTTTGTTTCTCTCCTGGTTGGGCTCTCCTGGAGCAAGCTCTCCAATAAGCAACGGCTTCAGGTACAACTTCACAATGTCAAGCTCCAGGTGCATGGCCCTGAAGGCATCCTGTAAATCAGAGAGGCCAGTTAGAAGCTCAAAAGACACATGTTTATTCATAGATCAGCCCTCCTCCTCACCCAACCTAGAAATGAGCATAGAATCCATTACAGAACACTTACTTTTAAGTCCAGGTTGATGGTGCAAATTGATGGATCCAAATTACACTTGAGAACCTTCTGAAAAGGCATAATGCTGGAGACCCCACTATTCTATGCATCGTTTTTCTAGGCATGACCAGTATAACCAGGCTCTCTAGAAGCACTGATGGCAACACTGTTTATTTTACTGAACATCAGAAGAAGCAGTTTTTTGGGTTTATTGGCCATGATGGAACTTTCAAGTCCAGCATCAGGTTTCTGGTGATAGTTGTTTACACTATCTGAAGCATGTAGCAGCCAAGGTAGTGGCATAGCTGCCAAGGTCAGCTAATGCTACCATATCTCCTGTTGAGGGCTCCTTTGTGGTTCTTGTCTGGGGCCCAGAAGAATTAGGCTCTTTGAATTAGTTATTTTCAGAGAAGGGCTGAATTTAGTTTAAAATCATGGGAGCACATTCCTTGAGCTCTGGGTTATCTACACTCTGGGTTATGCTTGACACTGGAAGACTCCAATCACTCTATTTAAAATGTTGTTGTTAAGTAGCAACCATATGACTTTGAGAAGCAGTGGATCTCTATAGCCTATTTAAGCAAGGGATACTTTTTCCTCTCAAGGATTTGTTCAGTCTTTTTTTTTTTTAAGGATTCCACAGAAGGGAGATGCTGAACTTTTGTTCTTATGGCTTTGGGATAGGAATGACTAAAAATGAAGAAATATAATCAAAGTTATAACCTGAATGAGTGGAAGCCATGTAAGTACTCTGTGTGGCCTTGCACAGCACTGACTTAGAAAGTGGGCTTCCTGCACCTAAAATATGGCCTTGACACTTAATAGCTGTGTAACTACGGACAATTCTGCTGACTTGGTTTTTTATTCTTTTCCCTAAATGGGGGTGATGATAGTCCCTCAATTCCCCAAAGCTCTGCACTGCCCAATTAAGCTTCTGCACATTTCTTATTACCCTCTTAGGAAATGATGGGTTACTTTATCTCAAAGATGGTTTTAAATTTTCACATTCTAGATCCTAAAGCTTAGTTCCCCCTAACCAGGAAAAGAGTGATTCAGTGGTTAAGAAAGTGATTGATGTATCTCATGGTGATCCATACTGAAAAAAAAATCATGTTCTTCTTGCTGCTTCAGAATAAGTTTAGAACAGAAAACATCCTGATGGGTTAAGGTCAAAGTACAGAAGAGTGAAATCTATTGCAATTTCATCTTCCAGTGTGCAGATAATATTTTTTTCTGATCCCCATTAAGGCTCATAGGTCAATGTTTCGACAACAGTTACTGAGGAGTCACAGTTTTCCAGAACATTAAAGCAACAGTCTGCTACCTTGGAGCTTTTTGTACATAAATAAGACAATGCAAAAAGGAGTTTAGGTAGTCTTAGAATATTCAATAATTTTCTAACAGAATCCAGATGCTGAGTAAGTTGTGAAATCTCTTCTTGAAAGTCCGCAAGAACAGGTTCAGTTACCAACATTCTTGGGCAAGTATGTTCTTGTTGAAGGAACGAGGGGGAGTAAAGGAAAAGAAAGGGGGATTGTGCCAGTGTTTGCAGAGTGTATCCTGTATACAAGGGGCTCTGAAGGCTTCTCATTGCTGTAGCCTTACTTCTGTGAGGTTCCTCCCATTGCTTCTGTTACACAGAGAGGCTAAATCTCAGAGGGGAGAAACGTCTTGCTCCCAAAAGCCAGCCAATAGCAGCGTCAGGATTTGAATTCAGGGCTATGCGACTCTGAAGCCATGAAGCCATAAAGATCCATGCCTGTCTTGATATGTATAATTCTTTCTCCGAAGGGCACGATGCTAGATGGTTTTGAGGTGATACTAAAATCAAATTAGATCTGCTGGGAAGATGGTAATGGTGTTCCTCTACTGCAGGTTTCAGTCCCATAAAGTGCATTGCCTATGGCTCCAGGCTGCCTCCCTCTTCTTGCCTTCCTCTATACCTTCCATGTGCCATCTTCTCTACTGGAGCCTTCTCATTCAACAGCATTCTATGCTCTTCCATAGGATCGAAGATTTACACATACAATTCCCTTTTCCTTGACTTCCATTTTGCATTTTCCCTACAGTTAAGTCTCCTCTGCATCCTTCAAGACCCATATAAAGTCAATCAGGAAAGTTATTCATGATCACTGTGGGCGTCATGACGCTGTTCCTGAAGGTATTCCAACTACATTGGAAATGAAACTGTGCACCTGCCTCTTCTTTAGTGATTTGTGAGTTTTTGAAACTGAGAATATGTACTGTTACTGATCAATATGTACCTAACAGCCTCACTGTGCCTGGGATGTGGCATGTGATGAATGCATGTCCGATGGACAGGGGAAAAGGGTGAGTGAGTGAATAGATAGAGACAGCAGTTCTAGAATGAGGAATCGGGATGAATCAAGTATTGCACTCCAAGGCTGCAGGTCTCTCTGTCACCTCAGTATTGCTATTTTCTGACACTTCTGTAAGTCTTGGTTTCATCTGTTTGCCTTTGACTCCCTTCTCAGTCATTCATTTTCACTCATGTTGCCCATAAATTTTTTAGTTTAGATCATCTTGAAAGTGATTATTTCTAAAATAGTACCAACATGGGAAAGATGTGATATATTATTTGCTTTTACAAATGCCTTGGAAAGAATGTTAAATTTTTGCTATTATTTGGCGGAGGAGGGAGTGATGTACTTTACTAGAAAAACAGTATCATCCCTTGTCAAAGAGGACAGTAGGAGAAGTTCAACCCTACCTTTCAATCTGTGCATTCTCCTGGAATTCCTATTCTGGAGGCCACCAGAATGTGGTTTCCAAACCACATACCCATAGGTGGATCTAAACTCTGTTACTTATCCACTTATTCACCAAATATTATAAATCAGGTCTCTTAAATATCCTTCCCACCCACCCCCTCCTCTCTACTTCTGCTGTCAATGCTTTGTCTGGGCCTTCAACATGTTCCCTCCTGGTCTTCCTTCTGGTCTTCCTTCCTTTTGACTGGCCCTTTTTACTTCATCCTCTAATAGCCAGGTTGATCTTATGGAGACAGCATCTTCTCATGGCCCATTTCCATCCATTAGAATTTGGACTTCCTTTTCTCTCTCTCCTCTTACCTCTGTGTATAACTACAAGATGATTCAAATGAGAATCAGATTATAACATTTGGACTGCCCAGGAAAGTTGAAATCACAGATTCTCACTTTCCATTTACTAACAGCTTAGAAGTGATGTCTGATTTATTGTTCTGACAAGTGTGAGCAGGGAAGCTGTGCCCAAGCACCACTGTTGGTAGTGGAAGGAGGTGCTAAGCAGTGAGGGGAATAGACAAATGCCTTAGGTTGGCGGTCAAGGTTCTTTGTCTCCCTCCTTCTGTCTCTTTCTTCCCTACCTCTCCTCTAGCTTCATCTTCTCTCCACCTTCTCCTCTTCTCATCATCACATAAGGATAGTTCACTGACATTAACTGAGCACATACTTTTGGCTAAAATTGTGCTAAGGAAAGGAAGTGGCTAGTGTGGCATGCCCCTGCTGTTTGGATGCTTGCTCACGACATGAGTTATGTCTGCACGCCTCCCCTGGGCTCACCTTTACTTCCCTCATGCCTCAGCCTCGTTTCCATGGGCTCCGCTCATACCAAACCCCATGGAATTCTCTCCCTTGGAATTGCATGCAACTCTATGTTTTTCAACTTAAGAGTCACCCAGATTATTGAAACAAACTTTTTCCTTATATTTTTTAAGCTTTAGTCATCCTTTCCTTGTTGAGTTCACTTTTGACTCCCACAAGAAAGAACTGGAGTTTCTCAGTGTCCCTTCTAGAGTGTGATGTCCAGAGATGAGGAGTGGGATGACCAGAATTCAGGATAATAAACCTGCTCTCTTTGTTCCAAACCAGCTGCCTCCGCACCCATTACAAGACTGCTTTTACGTTTTTCATGGAGGTTGGTGTGTACTGTTGTCTTATATAAAATTTATGGCTGTCCCATTATTCATATGTAGGTCCTGTCATCAAAATGCTTTGTAATCTTCATTTTACGGATTGCAAAATATCTCACCATGTTGCAGTTATATGTAATACTTATAATAAATTCTCCTTGTTGGACTTAGAGAAGGTTTCTGGATATTCCTGGGTAGGCTTATATAAGTGAAAAGAACTAGGCCTAAACTCTAGCACTGTGGCATTAATTTAAAATCATATAACTGGAATCAGATAACTCATGTGCAATAATTGGAGCTTATGGGCCAATTTTGTTTCATAGACTTTTTTTTTCGGCAACATTCCTTGGAGAATATTAGAATCCCTCTTGGAAGAATGAAGTAATTATTAAATAAAGGAATTTCCATTTATTGAGTATTTAATCTGAGAACCCTAAGAAGCACTTTATTTTATCTCCACTGACTTTAAAATAAATAAGACAGGGCTGCAGATACAGCTCAGTTGGAAGAGTGCATGCTTCACATGCACAAGGCCCTGAGTTCAATCCCCAGCACCACAGAAAATAAATAAATAAATAAACAAATGAACAGACAAACTAAGATAAAGGTGTTATCATTCCCATTTTCTAATTAAAGAAACCAAATCTCCAAAGTCTTAAGCAACCTCCTTAGGATCTTCCAAGTAATCGTGGAGTTTAGATGCAAACAAGTCCTGATTTCTTTCCAAACCTGTGCTTTCAACTATTAGACTGGACCCCTAACAAGGACTTTAGAACAACTGACTGCATGAATGAATGGATTAATGATCCATGGAACAGACCACTTGGGTATCATTATCCAAGGAAATCTCCTGTATAAATAAGAGAAAGGTACCCCATCTGGGGAAGTGCAGCCATAGGTCCAAGACTGGCACACACTGGGCCTCACTTGTCAGCCAAGGCACAACCTACAGACACCTTATATGTAACAGAGTGAACTTCTGACCACAGGTACCTCTGACTTGCTGCTTCTCCATCATATACCTTTCTGTTCCCAAATCAATTCAAACACAACATAATCAGCAGACCAAGTTGATAGCAAACAAACATAATAATTCCATTTTAGAATATAGATGCTGAGTATTATAACAATATAACCATAGCTATGGTTTACTCAACTTTTACCTAATGTCTTATATTATGCTACACACTGAACACACATTCATTTACTATAACCACATAGAGAGCGCCATTCTTACTTTGCAGACCATGAAACTGAGGCTCAGTAACTTTCCCAGGTTCACATAACTAATTCCAGTTTCCCTCCGAATAGCCAGTGAGTGCTGAAATTGTCGGGACTCTGCTGGCATCGTTAACTATTCTGGAGCCATTTTCCCTTGGAAAATCTTTTCTCTGAACATTTTTAGATTTATTTTCCTAAAGACTAAGGTACATGGCCGACTGACCATATGATTTTCTTCCTTGGCATATTTAAATCCTAATGGGCTATAGGATTTGTCCCTAAGGTTCTGGTGGTTACTATTATGTTAATCAATTCTTCTTTGGCTAGAGTTGGATGCAGAGGCATCATGATTTGCTGACTCCAAGGGAATAAAGATCATTAGTAAATTATAAATGCATCATGGGCTTCGTCAAACTCAGTGAAGCTATCCATTATTTAAACATGGTTGGAAACCCATGTCCTTACCAACACATCCTTTGAGTTAATTCTGTGACTTGTGTTAGCAAACCTTCGTCCATATTTTCTCTGAATTGTGGGCAGTGGGGATGGGCTATAAAAGGGTATGTGGCCTTTGTTTCAATACTTATTTGTTTATCTTTCTCCTGTTATTCTCACTTTTTTTTCCCATCTCACTTTTTTCAATTCTCTACTCTAGATGTCTACACAGTGTGTATCTTCCCAGTGGACATGATACTCCCTTTCTTTGTCACAAGCTTATACTAATTTTCTTAAGGAGAAGTTTGAACCTTGTTTAAAAAGTCATCAGATCTGACCAGAGTAGAATGGCAAGATAAGTTCAGAAAGACATTCATCTGACTGTAGATATTTGACTATTAGAACAAGACTTGAACAGAGCAGAGATGAGAAATTGGAGAAAAATTGAGATTTGAAGAAAATAGAGGTTGGTAATATAAAAATGGAGATATTCTATATTTTACAAAGTTGTCAGGTAGCACATATCATGTACAGATTAGTGCTTAGCAAAATGATATCTCCAGTTGTGTGTTTTGAAACCAGTTGGAGAAGTTATATGCTAATTAGTGACATCAACAGGTGTAATAAAATAAAAAATCCCAGGTTTAAATTTCTGTTCTGTCATATGAGTTTTCTGACCTGGAATTAGTGGTTTTCCCCTCTAATCTTCTGTTTCTTCATCTGTACAATGGTGGAAAATAAGATTCGCAGTTGAGAGAAAACAAACAACCTTATAGAATATTTTAAAAGGATTCTTAAATGCACTTAAGAGTTTGGAAGACCTCCTTATCAATAAAGGGAAATTTGTTTTTTAAAGAACCAAGTGTACGAGACTTTGTGGTTAAGCTTATCTCATTCCAAAATTTGGCACTATCAGTTGCTGGCTGTGCAACACATTTTTACCTCTTTGAACATCAACTTTCCCATCTGTAACATGGGAATAATATTCACCTTCCTTATGGGGAGGTTTAAGTGAGTTGGTGCATTTTAATGCATCCATAAAGTAGTTTGTATCATTTTTGTCATAGTAAATGAGTTCCTGGATGCAGTAGAGCTTTGCAAAACCTAGAAATCCAGGTAACGTTTTGATGCTCACTAAATTAACTGCTTTCTTTCTTTTAGACACTCCAATTATAGGAGTCTTAGAAGTATTTACTTGGGTGAAGATATTTTTTTTCTAGATTTCACTCATTTATTTGTAACTTCTTATAATATAGTGATTCCACTTCAAAACAAAGCAACAAACAAACAACAACAACAACAAAAACCAACCAAATAGCAACAACAACAACAACAAAAAAAAAAAAAACAAAATAAAACACAACCCTAAGGACAAAATGAAATCCAGAATAAACAAGTACAGTATCCAGTATGTACATATGAGTTCATCCCAAACTGGAAGCAGATGACAGGTAGACCTTGATTCCTAATTTGCTTCCAATTTCTTGTCAGAGAGGAATCCTGAAAAATTGGTTTGGGAGGAGATGATCGGTGGCAGAGCCTGAACACGTAATTGAATGCTTTTAGGAAGAGAGCCAAGATCTCAATCACCCAGCAACTTGGAGGCAGAGAGAGGGAGAGAGTGAAAGAGGGAGAGAAGGAGAGAGGGAGAGAGGCTTTGGAGTCTTGGAGTTTCTTACCGTGGCGTCTTCCCCAGCATAGTGGTTGAGGACCCGGTGCCCACCAGGATGCCTTTTGGCCCAGTCAGTAACATTATAAACTTTTCGATGGATTACCAGCCACTGGTCGTTCTCCTGATTGTGCCTCTGGATCTCTTGCCAGGTGTACCTGTTGAGACTTTCCCTGAGCCCATTGCTCTTGCCGTTCGCTTCCTGCTTTCCACAGCCATCCGTTTTCCCATTGGCTATTGGTTTCCCATTGGCCTGGTGCATCCCGTCTAGGTGCACTCGACTCCTTCCTGCCAGGCTCCCTTTGTCTTCAAGCTTTTCTTCAACCTTCATGGCCATTAGATCCTTGGGATTATCTGGGTGTACTCCTAAACCCTCCAATCCTCTGCTTGAACCACAAAATGACTGCTTTTCTTCCCTTTCATTCCATTGAGGTATGATGCCTACTCGGAAAACTTCACAGCCTAGTTGCCCCTTCACAAATCTGATGGTGCGCCCCTTCCCAGCCGGTCCTTACTCTTGTCTGTTTTGAATCTTTTCTGCTCTGAGGGAGGCTAGGCTACCTTTCTCTCTTCACATTTCTCCCTGCTGGCTGGCCTCTGAGCAGCATCCTCATTCATCCTTAAATGTCCCTGGGCAAAGAGCCTTAGCCAATGGCAGACGGGCAGAATGTTGAGTCCCGCCCCAGGGGGTGGGGCTAAACTCTAAGCAGTGATTCTCCTGCACTGTATCCGGGTGGGTTGGATTTTCCTGCTCTCTGAGGTGCCTGTGGATGCAGACATTTATTTAGGTTTGTTAACTCGACATGTGGGCAAAAGCTTTCAAAATCTCCAGGGTGACACAATGTTTGGTGGACTTGGGAAATGTTCTTTTGACAGCTGTCATTTCAACTAAGGACTTTTAAATAATAGTGTAAAACTTTTAAAAAAGGTTTTATTTTATAATATATACATATTTAAAATAACAACAAAAACCCAACCACTAAAACCCCCAATTTGCATAAACCAGTTTTTTTCCTTCCTTTTCATTTCCCTTTGAAAATTACCTAAATCTTTCAGCCCATTTGAAGGTAATAGCAAGGGATGTTTGCTAAAGCACATGATGGTTTACAAAGTCCCTGTCACATGTTTTAGCTCTTTTAATCCCACATCAATCTCTTGAGGGAGGTGGTGTTAGTGTCCCATTTTCAAACAAGAAAACAAGGTTCTGGAAGTCTCAGGTATCATGCCAGAATCACCCTGTGAATGAGAGCTAAACTGGTGAGTGAATTCAGGTATTCTGATTGCACATTCCAAGCTGTTTCATCTTGTTCTCAAACTTAAGGGTTTTTGTATTTGTAAAACTGACTTGACCTGGTGGTTTAGAAATAAGACAGACGCAATTCCAGGGTACAGAGTGATTTATTCTAATAATAAGGGACAGAGGGACTTATTTCAGTATTATTTATAATTCTGAATAATCAGAAGTGGCCTTAATGTTCATCAATGAGGAAGAAGAACTATATTAGTTATGTATATAGAATGAATATTATATACATATTAAAAATAAGTTTGTACAGAATTTTTAATGGAACAGATTCATGCTTGCAGTACAACAAAGGAAAAATTAGTCAATAAACTGTTTACTGAATGGGATATGATTGGAAGAAAATGTTCCCAAATATTGTCATTAGTTTTCTTTGGATTATAGTGCTATTGAAGATTTTGTTCTTTTGTATTTCTTGTGGTACTGACAAAATTTTATTCAAATAAGTATGTTATGTTTATAATGTAGAAAATAGTTTTTTTAATTGGTGCATAGTAATAATACATAAGGGTAGGATTAATTTGATATATTCATACATGAACTTAACAAAATTTGATCAGTTTAATTCTCCAGAACTTCCCCTTTCCTTCCCCTGGTCTCTTTTCTCTACTCTATTCTCCTCCCTTCTATTTTCATGAGATCTCTTTTTTCCTTTTCTTTCTAGATTCCACATATGAGAGAAAACATACGACCCTTGACTTTCTCAGTCTGGCATATTTTGCTTAATGTGATGCTCTCCAGTTCCATCCATTTTTCTGCAAATGGTATGACTTTGTTCTTTGCTTTGATGGAATAAAACTCCATATATATATGATGGAGTTTTATTCCATCAAAACAAAGAACAAAGTCATATATATATATCACATTTCCTTTATGCATTCATCTCTTCATGGTAGGGGACTAAAGAAAGAAAGATAAATTATAGATTTTGAAGCCAGATGGATATGGAATTATATTTTGTTTTTTAAAACTTTATTTTATTTATTTATTTTTATGTGGTGCTGAGGCTCGAACCCAGCGCCTTGCACGTGGTAGGCGAGCGTTCTACTACTGAGCTACAACCCCAGACCCTGGAATTATATTTTAGCTCTATCAATTATTAGCTAAAGAACATGAATGAAATTACTTCTTTGCACTTTTTGTGTCCCACCTGTAAAGTGAAAGAATAAGCACAATTTTCAAGATTGCAATGAATTAACATAAATTCCATAATATTTACAGAAAATCTCAGTAGTTTTCATGATTTCTGAATTGGAATAATCTATATCCAATATGCATCCGTTCAGTATAGGTAAGTTATATGTATAAATTCATAGAAGTTTGAGAACAACAACATGTTTGGCACTTTGATGAGGGCATCTCAGGAGTTTGGCTGGGGCAGTTTTCTAGAATTTCCTGTAAACTTGAAATAATGTGGTTTTACTGTGTCATACCATGCAGACACACTGGCGGGAGAGGCCTGGGTATATGTGTGGGGTAGCTAGAGACCTTTATTTCTCTCATTCTTGAGTATAGTGAGGGCAGCCTTGACTCACTCTTCATGTGCAAAATGTCCAGAATGCTCAGAAAGTACTGGTAATGAGGTTTTCCTAGCTAAAGTCCTCAGTATCCTTGGCCCCTGTTAAATCTCCTTTTCAGAATGGATGTGAGTCTGTCAGAATGTGTCTGGGTATATGTGGGCTGTTCAGATCTTCCCAAAACATGGAGGGGTCTGTCTCTGACACTGAGAGCTAAGTCTTCCTCATGATGCTCCAATATGGAGGTTTAAAAGTTAATGCCTTTCTTTAGATGTAACGCTCAAGATTGTTAAGATTACAAAAGATATGTTTAACCTAAAACTTCTTTTAAAGATAAGATTCTGAGATATTAATCCCACAAAGAGTTTTATGAAAAGGTGGAATATTTTTTCCAGTGCAAGGTGAGCCATCCAGTCATTTATTTACAAATCCATTCTTTTAACCTGTATTGAGCAGCTTCTAAGGGCAGGAACTTCTGTGGGCTGGCACTGTGACTCCAGGCCCTTTTACTATCTTAAAAACAATTGAATCTTTTTGACCTGTCACTCAACAGGAAATCAGAACGGGAGTTACTCCGACTCTATCATGCCAATTATTTAGGAGACTCCAAGCAGAATCTCTGCGTCAAACCAGTTCAACCTTCAGAATACTGGTGTGACCACTGCTCAGCCTGGCAGTGGTTGGAGACATTATGGAATACTGTCTCCATAATGTTGGAGACATTATTGGTAAATCTTGACTAAATTAATGGAAAAGAAGGTCATTGAAAACCTTATTTACCAATAACAGTATTTTCTACTTTCTATGCTAGATAACCTAGAGATGAAAGATGGACAAAACTTTCTTTTCTTTGTAAGAAAAGCTGCAGGCAAGAAACAAAATGAATAAAGAAAATGCACCCCCATCTCTATGCATTCAGTTTTTTTTGTAGAAAGCTACATAGCCAGAGTTCAAAATCAAGGACCAATGCTTCCCATGTTAGGAACTTGGACAAGCACCTCAACCTCTATGTTTTTCTGAGGTCTCATTTTAAAAACATGATAAAGCTAATAATACTTGTGCCTCATAGATTTTCCTTTGTAACAAGTAAATATGGTACTTCATGTATTTTTCTTTGTGACAAGTAAATATGTTGATTTATGTATAGTGCTTCAGAAAATACCTGAAAGTTCTCTATAAATGTTAGCTGCTGGTATTATTCTTTTTAAAAAAATATTTTAATTGACATAGTAATTGTACTTATTTATAGGGCATGGTGTGATATTTCAATACATGCATACAATATAGAATGATCAAATCAGGATGATAGGTGTATTCATTAAACTTATTTTTTTTGTGTGTGTGTGTGCCACCATTAAAAATTCTCTCAAGTAGCTATTTTGAGATACACAACTAATTGATGTCAACTATAGTTATCCTACCGTGCAATGAAACATTAAGAGGTTATTCCTCTTACCTAACTGTACCCTTGTGCCTATTAACCATCTTCTCTGTACCCTTCCTCTCCGTGACTCGCCCAGCCCCGGTAACCACGATGCTACTCTTTACTTTAATGAGATGTGTGTTTTAGTTTCTGCGTAGAAGTGAGGATGTGTGGTATTTGTCATCTGTGCTTGAGACATTTGACAACACAATATCCTTCAGTTTCATCCATGAAGCCACAAGTGACAGGATTATATTCTTTTTTTTAAGGCTGAATAATCCTTCATTATGTACATATAGCACATTGTAAAGTCCATTTTTCTGTTGATGAGTACTTTGGTTAATGCCACTTTGGGGTTTTCAGGAATGGTGCTACAATGAACATGAATGGCCAAATGTCTCTTTGACATACTTGTTTTCATTTCCCTTTTCACTACTAACCAGTAGTAGTGAAGCCAGAATTAGGCAGGCAGTCAGTTTAGATAGGTAAATGGAGTCAGGTCAGATCAAGGAAGCTAATTTGGGTGAGTCCAGAAATCTGGAGAGGGATTGAAATGCTAATGCCTTCAGAGCTCTTCTGACACCCTTATCAAGATAACCTGCCCCTGCTCCAACCTGTTGCTAAGATAACCTGCACTCAGGATTGTCCCTCCCTACAGAGAGTTGTTAATTACACCCCCTTCCTGCCCGGGTCACACCACCTTGGCCCTTTGGCCCATCTGCTTCCCATATTTTGGCCATCCCACCGAGCATCTCCTGGTCCTCGTCAGGTAGATAGGAGAAAGAGAGATAAAGGAAGAGAGCAGGAGAACAAAGGAAGCCTAAGACATATAAAAAGGTAGGACACCCTCACTTCTTGGGATGCCAGGATACCAGCTATGGCCCCCTTCTCTCTCCAGGGAGAAGTCTATGTTACCCCTTTTAAATAAACCCTGCTTTATATGCTTGCCTCGGAGTGCTTCTCTAATGTTACATTTCAACTTGTGGGGGAGCAGAGCTCATCATCATTAACTGGCAGTATCAGTAAGATTGTTGGATCATAGGGTAGCTGTATTTCTAGTCTTTGAGGACCCCCATACTGTTTTCCATAATGTCTGTACTACTTTACACTCCCACCAGCAGCATGAGAGTTCCCCTTGCTACCTTGTCCTTACCAGCATGTGTTATCTCTGAGTCAACATAGCATTCAAAGACAGTAACATTTCATGAGCAATTGGTGACGATGGGTACTGAATCCTTACAATATTTCTCTTTTCCTAGAGGAAATGAGAAGATCAGCATTTAGGTGGTAGGAAAAGTGACAGACATACATCAGAGAAAAAATTATCAGGCACAAATCACAGATTGTAGAAGCAGGCTGATTTTTATCCTCCC